CTTTTCTCTTTTTGAGACAGGGTCGGGTATATGCCAGGCTGGAACTGATGGCTGTGCTACATGGGCTTAGGCAGAAATAATAAAAACCCAGTGGTGTTTCATGGTCAGAATTCTAAGCTTCTCTCCCATTTCCTGCTGTGTGACCTTGATGAACAAATCTCTTGATCCTTCAGCCTGCACCTTCCATATAGAACGAGAGAAACAATTTGTGTCCGGTCTTCACACATAGGATTGTTGTACTGTTTTGAAACAGTATGAAACAATTATTTTATCATCATTAGTTTAAAATGTTTATTATGTTTTATTATTTTCAATGTATGAGTGTTTTGCCTGCATGTATGTCAGTGTGTTTTATATACCATGTGTTTCTGATGCACACGAAGCCAGAAGAGAGCATCAAATCCCCGTACAGGAGTTATAGATGGTTGTGAGTCAGCACGTGGGTGCTGGGACTCAAGCCTTCATCCTCTGGAAGAGCAGTCAATGCTCATGACTGCTGAGCAGTCTCTCCAGTTCCCATTTTAATTGACTTTAAAAAAGTCTCAAGATCTGGTCTTCCTAGGCAACCCTGTTTGACCTGGAACTCAATATTTAGATCAGGCTGGCCTCAAACTCATAGAGATCTGTCTTCTGGCCTCTGCCTCCTGAGTGCTGAGATCAGCGTGTGAGTGTGTCACCCAGCTTATTAATTCATTTTATGTGTGTGTGAGTATGTGTGTGTGTGCACATGTGACACACGTGTAGAGGTCAAAGAACCACTTGAGTGAGAAGTTCTCTTCTTCCATAACGTGAGTCCCAGGAATCAAGGTTAGCTCATCAGGCTTGGAGGCAAATGCCTTAACCACTAAGCCATCTTGCCGGCCCTTGTTATTTGAATTTGAATTCAAGTCAGTTCTTTTGTCTGAGCATTGGAATTTACAGGCATGTAGCAACACACTATATTTTTTTCTTTTTCTTTTCTTTTCTTGTTTTCCCAGCCCACCCCCACCCTCTGCTTTTTTTTTTTTCTTTTGTCTTGTTTGTTTTTTGAGACAGGGTTTCTCTGTGTAACAGCTCTGGCTGTCCTGGAACTCACTCTGTAGCCCAGGTTGGCCTCAAACTCAGAGATCCATCTGCCTCTGCCTCCTGAGTGCTAGGATTAAAAGCGTGCCCCACAACTGGATCTCGTTTTTAAATATTTTATTACCATGTGTTAATTACATAATGGGATAGTAACATTTTTCTACTTGTACATAATGAATTTTGATTGTATTCACCTCCATGCTCTCTCTTGTTTTCCCCAATTTGCTGATCCCCATACTGTTCCCTCCCTCCCTGATCATGTGTGCGTGCATGCGTGCGCGCGCGCGTGTGCATGTGTGTTGTGTGATCTTAGGGCTGCTTACAGAAGCATCTCTTACAGGGATGAGAGGTTGTTTACAGGAGCGTGGGCACTGCACTAGCGATTACAGCACTGAAAAAAATGTCTTTCAGCCAGGTGTGCTGGCGCACACCTTTAATCCCAGCACTCTGGAAGCAGAGACAGGCGGATCTCTGAGAGTTCGAGGCCAGCTTGGTCTACAAAGTGAGCTCCAGGACAGCCAGGACTGTCATATAGAGAAACCCTGTCTTAGACAACAAGAACAAAAAGTTAATAAAAAGACAATTTGAAAGATTCATCATGTTTGTTTAGCAAAACAACAGCTGTAGTTTCTCTGCTGGGGCCTCCTATGACCTCCCTAGCTCCAAACTTGACCAGATTTACAATAGCAGACATCTTTTCTTGGGAGCAGACCTCAAGGTCAGTCAGAAAGCAGTTGGTTAACGCCATAACAGACCTGCCGCTATGGCAGCGGTGGGCTCAGCCTGCCAAGGCCACGGCTGAACAAGCTGTGGGTGGCACTTCTCCCTCAGCAGCCTGTGTGACGCCTTAAAGCATTATGAAGGCTAGCCACCAGGAAGAAGCTTCCAGTTCAGCTCCGCCTAAATTTCTCTGTGTCCCGTGATTAGAGCTTATGGTGTCTTCAGTAATAAGGTCTCACCGCCTAGTTCTGGCAGGAAGCTGAGCGCATCGGAGACAGCCTGTAGTGCTTTGAGGACCTCAGGAGGCTCCCTGACCGACGATTCACAGGGAGGTGGCCCACCTCTGGTGCTGGGATTTTCATTTAGTAACTTATGGTTCCAGGAGCAGTTTCACCCCAGGGTACCTCTGTTCAAACTCTCTTTTAAAAACACTTTATTTTTAATTACTGTCCAAAGTATTGCTTCCTTATAGCTTCTTAATAACCTCAGTTGTGGCTGACCCTCCTTCGCCCATCTCCTTGCTCCCCTCCCCACTTAAATCTTCCCACCCCAGTGTTCCGCCCCCTCCCATTATCTTGTCACATGTATTCTACTTCCTCCCACCCTCGAAGCCTCTTTCCTGCCTCCCACGGATGCCTTGAAACTGTTCTTTGAACTGCACCAGTGTGAGGCATCGATAGGATCGCATAGACCATGTGGTCTAGCCGCACAAAGGGAAACTCAGGTTTCCAAATGCCCAGGACTCTTGAGGACCACTGTCCTGTGGTGCTCTGTACACCACAGAGAAGCCGGCTCACCCACAGCTGTGCGGAGGGAGAGGCCGGGATTCACCCAGAGGCTCCCCCCGACCCTGGTGGAAAATTAACCACCAAGACCCATTTACATAAGGAGTTACTGCAGTACTGAGAAGTCCCAGAAGGGGGCAGCCTAGTCTCAACCCCAGCCATGGGTTAGCATATGGCTACCCTAAGCCAATTTGTTTCCTGCCCTCCCTTCCCCTCCTCCTTCCTCCTTTTTTTCTTCCTCCTCCTTTTCTTTCTTCTCCTCTCCATCCTTTTCTTCCTTCTCTCCCTCTTTGAGGCAGATTCTCCTATGTGCCCCAGACTGGCTTTGAATTTTTTTTCAATATTAATTCTATTTAAAAACCAAACACTTTTTATTTATTTTATTTTATGTGTGTGAGTGTTTGCCACTGTTACATGCACGTCTGGTGCCCTCTGAGGTAAGAAGGTGGCACTGGATCCAGATCCCCTGGAACTGGATTTACAGACAGCTATGAGCCGTCACTGGGGTGCTGGGAACCAAATCCAGGTCTTCTAGAGGAGCATCAAGTGCTCTTAAACACACACACACACACACACACACACACACACACACACACACATATGAGAGCCCATGTGCATGCCTCAGGGCACAGGTGGGGGACACTTGTAGAAGAAAGTTTTCTCCTTTCACTATGTAGGTCCTGGGGGTGGAACTTAGGTCATCAGGCATGGTGGCAAGTACCTTCACCTGCTGAGTATCTCACCTGCCCGGTATCACTCTTAACTACTGAGCCATGCCTCTTTTCACTTTATTGCATTGGGTTATACTAATCTGAGTTAAAAGTGGATCCCGAATGGTTACGTTATGTAAGCAGCGAGGTTTTAAAATTTTGTGACAAGGCACAGAAGAGGAATTCTACTAATTTCGAGAAAATGCTGGCTGACACTTCAGAGAGCTACACGCATTTAAAACTCCGTGCACCTTCAGCTGATGGTTGCAGCCAGCCCTGTCTCTGGGAGGAACTGGCATGTTCTGGATTGCTCGTCCTGTAGCTGAATTACTTCTTCTTGTTCTGGATGCTCAATTACAGTACCATTGCAGGCAAATTTCCTCTTCAATGACGCCACCGGTTTCTTTTTGTTGTAACCATCGGTGACCCACTGGACAGTAGTGAGGGTCTCCCTGTCATTTCTTTGTTGAATTCTTACATGGATATGACCCTTGGCGCCGGCAGGAACCATCAGTCATCACCTCACTCGTGTTAGTGAAGGAGTCAAAAAGGTGGAGGTTCTGAATCGTGGACATACAGACAATTCTCTTTCCTTAGTGGAAATAGCCGTGGAGAGGGCTCCTGGAGGAGCAGGGGATGGGGCAGGGCGGGGTGGGGGGGGCCAACACTGAGTCTGAGGAAGCAGTGGGAGGCAGCTGAGTCCTAGAAAGTGGCTCAGTTGTTGGATGGCCTAGGGCCCTTTAGAATTTAAATTTATTTTTCAATTTCATTTGCATGGGCCGGGGAACACATGTGTGAAGGTCAGAGTCCAATTTGTAGGACTGGAGTCCTTCACCACGTGGGACCTAGAGATGGAACTCAGATCCCAGGGCTTGGCAGCAAGCACCTTCACCAATGAAGCCATCTTGACAGTGTGGGTCTTGAACTTCTGATCTTCTGTCTGCCTCTGTCTCCCAAGTGCTGCCAGGATAGGTATTTACTACAATGTCAGACTGTTTTTTTCTGAAAGTTAAAACATCCATGCTTTTGTTTTATTTTCTAGAATCTATTAATTACTATTTTTATGAGCGTGGGTGTAGATGTGTGTCATGTCGCATGTGTGGAGGTCAGAGGACAACTGTGTGGTGTAGGTTCTCTCCTTTATGTGGGTTCTGGGGTTCAAACTCAGGTCGTCAGCCTTGCTCAGAAAGCATTTCACCTGCTGGGCAACCTCGTGCCCCAGGGTTTTCTTTACAGTTTGCTGTTCCCTGTAGCATGTTAACAAAGGTCTCTGTCACCTTCATTTCCCAGAAGAAACGCCTTAGAATGCCTGTCCATGGTCACACAGCTGCTAAGGGAGAACTGAGGGCGTTGGCCAGGCCTTCCATCTGGCAAGTTCAGGAGATTCCATTCACTACCCAGCTGCTGACTGAGAGACTCCTAAGATCCAGTTCAGGGGCTCTGGAAAGACTGTAGGTACCTTTTACTACAGTGTTCTGTGGCCTCCCACATGATCTACCGTATAGCTTCTTGCATGCTGAATTAATGGGAACTCTATTTACAAACCACACGGCTCTTCCTGAATTTAGGGAAAGGGGCAGCTGCAGGGTAGCTGTTGGGATTCTGCACCCACCCAAGGCTTTCTAAGGCAACTGGACAGAGGGAATGGAAAAATCTTGAACAACACTAATGTTTTGAATAATAATGTCTTAGTCACTGTTCTATTGTCTGGAAGAGACACCATGACCAAGGCGGATTATAAAGGAAAGGATTTAATTGAGGGCTTGCTTATAGTTTCAGAGGCTTAGTCCATTATCTTCATGGTGGGAAGCATGGTGGCATGCAGGCCGACATTGTGCTGGCGTGGTTGCTGAGAGCTTTGCATTCTGATTCACAGGCACAGAGTGAAGAAATACTGGGCCTGGTGTGGGCTTTTTGAAATCTCAAAGGCCACCTCCAGCAACACACTTCCTCCAACAAGACCATATCTCCTTATTCTTTTAATCTTTCTCAAACAGTGTTGCTCCCTGGTGACTAAGCATTCAAATATATGAGCCTATGGGAACCATGCTTATTCAAACCACCACAAATACTACTTAGTTAGGGTTTCTATTGCTGTGATGAGACACCATAACCACAGCAACAACTTTTTTTTTTTAAATTTACTTATTTATTTCTTCCATTATCAGCTTGATACAGTACAGATTCTTATCCTAATGGTGAAATGTTTCACTGAGGCTTGCCCAGTGATTGAGTAAAACCAAAACTCATTATAAGCCTCAGTCATCCTAGGGTCCCCCCTGCTAGGTAGCCTCCCTGGTACTGTGGGTTGCAGTCTGATAGTTCTTTGCTTTATATCTAGTATCCACTTATGAATCGGTACATACCATGTTTGTCCTTCTGAGTCTGGGTTACCTCACTCAGGATGATATTTTCTAGTTCCATCCATTTGCCTGCAAATTTTATGCTGTCATTGTTTTTCTCTGCTGAGTAGTACTCCATTGTATATATGTACCACATTTTCTCAATCCATTCTTCAGTTGATGGGTATCTAGGTTGTTTCTGGGTTCTGGCTATTACGAATAGTGCTGCTATGAACATAGTTGAGCATGTATCTTTGTGGTATAATTGAGCATTCCTTGGGTATATGCCCAAGAGTGGTATGGCTGGGTCCTGAGGTAGATCGATTCCCAATTTTCTGAGAAACCACCATACTGATTTCCACAGTGGTTGTACAAGTTTGCACTTCCACCAACAGTGGAGGAGTGTTCCCTTTGCTCCACATCCTCTCCAACATAGACTGTCATTAGTGTTTTTGATCATGGCCATTCTGACAGGTGTACGGTGGTATCTCAGAGTCGTTTTGATTTGTATTTCTCTGATGACTAAGGATGTTGAGTATTTCTTTAAATGTCTTTCAGCCATTTGAGATTTTTCTTTTGAGAATTCTCTGTTTAGCTCTTTAGCCCACTTTTTAATTGGATTGTTCAGTATTTTGAGTCTAGTTTCTTGAGTTCTTTATATACTTTGGAGATCAGTCCTCTGTCAGATGTGGGGTTGGTGAAGGTCTTTTACCATTCTGTAGACTGTCTTTTTGTCTTATTGATCGTGTCTTTTACTCTACAAAAGCTTCTCAGTTTCAAGAGGTCTCATTTATTAATTGTTGTTCTCAGTGTCTGTGCTACTGGTGTTATATTTAGGAAGTGGTCTCCAGTGCCAATGTGTTCAAGAGTACTTCCTACTTTCTCTTCTATCAAGTTCAGTGTAACTGGATTTATGTTGAGGTCTTTGATCCACTTAGACTTGAGTTTTGTACATGGTGACAGATATAGATATATTTGTAATATTTTACATATTGACATCCAGTTATGCCAGTACCATTTGTTGAAGATATTTCCTTTTTTCCTTTGTATAGTTTTGACTTCTTTGTCAAAAATCAGGTGTTCATATGTGTGTGGATTAATGTCAGGATCTTCAGTTTGATTCCATTGGTCTGTATGTCGATTTTTATACCAGTACCAAGCTGTTTTTATTATTTTTTATTATTTATTATTTATTTATTAGAGCTTGAGGTCAGGGATGGTGATGCCTCCAGAGGTTGCTTTATTATATAGGATTCTTTTAGCTATCCTGGGTCTTTTATTTTTCCATATGAAGTTGAGTATTGTTCTTTCCAAGTGTGTAGAATTGTGTTGGGATTTTGATGGGAAATGACAATCTTACCAAAAACAGATTGTTTTTGGTAAGATTGTCATTTTTACTATGTTAATCCTACCTATCCATGAGCATGAGAGATCCTTTCATTTTTTTTATATCTTCTTCAATTGCTTTCTTTAGAGACTTAAAGTTCTTATCAAACAGATCCTTCACTAGCAACAAGTCTTATAAAGAGAAACATTTAATTGAGGTGGCTTACAGTTTCATTATCATCATGATGGGACATGGTGGCATGCAGGCAGATTTTGTGCTGTAGCTGTAGCTGAGAGTTCTATATCTTGCACAGGCAACAGGAAATGGTCTGTCTCACTGGGTATAGCTTGAGCATAGGAGACCTCAAAGCCCACCCCCTTAGTGACACACTTCCTCTAACAAGGCCACACCTCCCCTAAGTCCCACTCCCTTTGGGGGCCATTTTCCTTCAAACCACCACAACTATTCTTTATTTGGATTCCTTTTCCTTTAGCATTGCCTATCTCTTTAAATAATCAGCTATGGGCACGGAAGACATTAAAACTCTTCATCAAGCTGGGTGTGGTGGTAAACATCTGTAAAACCAGCACTGAGGAGGCGGGGCCAGGAGGATCGCTTTATGTTACCGGCCAGCCTGGGCCACAGGAATGAATGTCAAGCCAGTGAGAACTACATGTCAAAACAAAACACACAACCAATTGAAACCATTTACCATGTTTCCCCTCCTTCCTGCCTTCTGGACTGTGACGAGATCGCACTCTTCGGTCCTTGGTCTAGTGGGATAAAAATGGAAGTTAAGAGCTTCAGAATGTCATACATCCTCAGTGTATGATGGGCGTGCCGAATAAGTGAAGAACAAACCCGTGCTGCTGAAAGTCACTGAGAGCAACACAACCCAAGGCATACATCAAGAGGTATTTACCAGCTCCCTGCCCTGTGCTGAGGGAAGGTGAGGTAATGGGGTTGTTTAAGAAGCACTGTGTGACACTGGGTGGTGGTGGCTCATGCCTTTAATCCCAGCACTTGGGAGGCAGAGCCAGGTGGATCTCTGTGAGTGCGAGGCCAGCCTGGGCTACCGAGTGAGATTCAGGAAAGGCTCCAAAACCACGCAGAGAAACCCTGTCTCGGAAAACCAAGGAGGTGGGGGAAGCACTGTGTGGTAGAAGGAGGATGGGTTTTTTGTTTTTTTGGGTTTTTTTTGAGACAGATAAGCTACAATTAAACATCAACTCTGTCATGATAGGTATGGTTTTAAGCAAAAAGTTTTTATTTATGTTTTGAGACAGTCTGATCTCATACCTCAGACTGGCCTCGAGCTCACGATGATCTTCCTGCCTCAGTCCCCAAGTTTTGGGATACAAGTGTGAACCACCATGCTCAGCTAATTTTAAAACCCTCTTCACAGTCTCTATCTGAATGGCAAAAACCAAATGAGCACCTGACAATATGGACTATTGGGAAAGAGGTAGGGCTGCTGGAGCCTGAGACTCAGAAGCAAGGCACACTTCTAGAAAACACTGGGAAATGGCTTAGCGGTTTTCTATAAGATTAAACATATGTTTACCATGTCCCTTGTCAATCCCTCCCTGATCTAACCAAGAGAAATGATAACTTTATTCACACAAAAATCTGTACATGAGTGAATACAGTGGCTTTATTCATAACTGCCTCAAAACTGGAAGACCCCACATGTCCTTCTCATGATGAAGGAGTAAATGACCTGTGGTAATCCATACACTGGATCAATACTCAACAAGGATGAGCAGGTGCAAATACATAAAAAACAAAAACAAACACAAACAAACAAACAAAAAAAACCCACCTGAGCCAGGTCTGGTGGCACATGCCATTAATCCCAGCACTGAGCAGGCAAAGATGGCAGATCTCTGAGTTCAAGGTCAGCCTGGTTTACATGAGTTCCAGAACAGCCAGGGCTAGG